GCTGCTATGTGGACAAGAGCCAACCTTCTGCCATGCCCGGTACAGGGTCAATCTTCTATGCCATGTATGGTGTTTAATCTTCATATTGCCAACTTAGCTTAGAATCATCTAGGGGGCACATGCTACGCTTTGAATATTGGTTCTCTCTCTCTCCCACCCTTGGGTGCATTTAAAAAGTTTTATGTTAATGGTATTAAGCAGGTAGAAACTTAATCCCAGTGTGGTGCTCAGAGGTGGGAGCTTAGGAAAATGATTAGGTCAGACATGGTCATGGAAGTGGAGAGTCCTTGAGTGAGTCCTGGTGGCTTTTAAAATCATAGTGAAAGATGCTGTAGAGGTAGACATGCACACAGAACTCTAGCCAAGATGTAATGCAGCAAAGTGGGGGCTGGGAGAGGTGCTGTTCCTTGTCTGATCCTGTGACATGCTGCTTGGCCTTCTGGCCTCCAAAAACTGTGAACTCAATGCGTGTGGTGTCTCGTAATGAAGAATAACTAACTGACTGATATACTTTCCCAAAGTAAAAATGTTCCTTCAGAGCCGGGCGGTGGTGGCGCACGCCTTTAATCCCAGCACTTGGGAGGCAGAGGCAGGCGGATCTCTGAGTTCGAGAGTTCGAGGCTAGCCTGGTTTACAGAGTGAGTTCCAGGACAGCCAGGGCTACACAGAGAAACCCTGTCTCGAAAAAACCAAAAAAAAAAAAAAAAAAAAAAAGTTCCTTCAGGACGCACCAACGGGAAGCAGGAAGGAGTAACTGTGTGTGTGTGTTTTATTGCAGCTTGGAAAGTTTCCTCTAATGTCTGCCAAGAGGAAGCCCAATATAAAATCAGTTGGTAAAAATAAGAATGGGGGCTGCAAAGCTCTGGCTCCAATATACTTGCAGGGTATAGAAGAGTGAGTTTATAATAAAGAGAAAGATAATGTCCACTGGCATATACCACATCAGTTTCACCAATTTCCAGACACTATTTTCCTAGAAATCGGTTTTTACAGAAAGAAGGAGGGGGGGAGGAGGAGGAGAATTATCTTGTGAAAGTAAGGAGACTTCAGCATCTCTCTCCCAACTTACAGGCTCTTTCTAAAATACCATTTTAATAAAAATCATGCTGTTGGGCATCCAAGTGGAGGAAATACAGGAAGGAGTAGGGGAAGGTATAGTTCTCAAGGACATGCCCCCTGTAACATACTTGGCAACGTCACCCAGAAACCTTTCCGTTTCTCTCTATAGTACCACCATACTGTGAATCTTTTAGGCCAGAGCCGTCGAGATCTAATTGTCTCTGGAAATACTATCATTGACATTAGTTTCACCAACCTCCAGGTCTTCCTTCCTTCCTTCCTTCCTTCCTTCCTTCCTTCCTTCCTTCCTTTCTTCCTTTTCTTTTTGGTTTTTGGGTTTTCCATACAAGGTTTCCCTCTGTAGCCCTGGCTGTCCTGGAACTAACTCTGTATACCCAGGCTGGCCTTGAACGCACAGAGATCCACTTGCCTCTGCCCCTGGGAAAATGTGTTTACCACTATGCCCTTCAGACTTTACTTAATCCAGTTAACTTGATTAAAATTAACAATCAAACCTTCAGGAAACAAACACCTCAGGGTATGGAAGATTCTCCAAAGTTCAAATTAATTTTCCTTTCCAACCTCCGTTTCTCCTCCATATATAACATACACATATACAAACGTGGCTTCTGCCCAAGGGATTTTTAGGTAACTCACACAAAACAACTATCTAGGGCATTAAACTCCTCAGCCTCAGTCTTTGGAGACAGTAACTCCATGCTGTGCAGGGATGGAGGACAGAAAATGAAGACTGTTATTTTTTTTCCTCTATATTTGGAAGCTAAAGACCTGAACCAGCCCCAAATCAGGGAGGTTATAAGACACCATCAAACCCCAGGAGGTAGGAGTCCTTAGGAATCATTGTGTGTGTGTGTGTGTGTGTGTGTGTGTGTGTGTACATATTTGGGGGCAGGGTTGGCTTTTGGAGACTGGGTTTCTCTGTGTAACCTTGGCTGTCCTGGAACTCACACTGTAGACTTGGCTGGTCTCGAACTCACAGAGATCTGCCTGCCTCTACCTTCCAAGTGCTCAGATTAAAGGCATTTGCCATCACCGTCTAGGTCTTAGGGACTATCTTAAAGGTACCTTGTGGCAAGAAAAGTTAAATTTGTCCTTATTCATTGACTCATTTATGGCTGGGACTACTAACTAAGATATTTGAGAAAAACATATGACTATATTTGCTCCAAGTTCATTTGGCCCAAGATGTCTTCAGAAATGAAGACCCATAGAAAAAGGGAAAGTGTGGGATGCATGCGCAGCTGTACGGAACAGGAGATGAACTAACGGTAACAAGGAAGCAGAATGTACCAAGAGCATGTGCTCTCCCTCTTCTCCGTATCTGCTTCCACTCCTCCCTTCTAGGTATAGTGGGGTACTGGCTTCAGGAGGCAGAATTCTGTTCTGTCTGTCTCCAGTAAGAGAGGAAGGAAAGATGCAGAAGAGAACCTTCTGGCTTCTACCACTTTCTCAAATGCCACCGTGTTGTATTTTGGGACAGCGTCCTAAGCCCCAGCATTGACACCCTAGTAGGCTAAGTTATGAAGCCAAGCAGTGTGAGAGAACATACGCAGAGAGGAGCCCTGGTGTATCCATCCAGAGTCCAAGTGTGCCAACATTCAGGGTGGTCTTCACTCCTCATTGAAAACGCATCCCCCCAGGCATGCCAAGAGGTGTGTTTCCAAATGACTCTAAAGATTTATTTATTTATTTTATTATGAGTACACTGTAGCTGTCTTCGGACACACCAGAAGAGGGCATCCAATCTCACTATGGATGGTTGTGAGCCACCATGTGGTTGCTGGGATTTGAACTCAGGAACTCTGGAAGAGCAGTCAGTGCTCTTAACTGCTGAGCCATCTCTCCAGCCCTCCAAATGACTCTAAACCAACTTGAAAAATAAAGATTGAGCATTGCAAATGGCATAGAACGCTGGTTACATATGGCAGGATTTGAAGACTTTCCTTCAGAACCAGGGTATCTCTTGGTGTTTAATAACCCAAGATACTGTCGATTCCATGTTGTGCAGATTGTTTTTAGCATCACGTATGTTCAGTTGGTTTGCTGGTTCATCTTTGGTAACAAATTTGTATCACAGACTCAAGGGTCTCTGGGAGAGAAAGAAACCACAAGAAATATAAACTCAGAACCTCCTCTTAAACAGGACCTGTCATATCCTCTGATGGTTATTTCAGGTTAAGTAGTAGAACCAGTAGCATACAGGAAACTCTAGGGTTGAATTCCAAGCATCAGAAACAATCTATGAAATCCTGAATATTTGAAGGCCAAGCTCAGTGTGGTGGAACATTCCACCACCTGGGTGTGTGTATGGGGCTAGGGTAGATGGGCGGAGACAGGCAGATATCTGAGTTCAAGGCCAGGCTGGACTACACACAGAACTCCAAACCACCAAGGCTACACAGTGAGACCCTGTCTAACCTGTTTTTTTTGTTGTTGTTGTTTTTTTTGTTTTGTTTTTGGTCCTTGAAGACATTACCACCCTCATCAAAAAGTTCTTTTCGCCGGGCGGTGGTGGCGCACACCTTTAATCCCAGCACTTGGGAGGGGAGGCAGAGGCAGGCGTATTTCTGAGTTCAAGAGTTCGAGGCTAGCCTGGTCTACAGAGTGAGTTCCAGGACAGCCAGGACTACACAGAGAAACCCTGTCTCGAAAAAACCAAAAAAAAAAAAAAAAAAAAAAAAAAAAGTTATCTTCATTTGTAAAACAGATAGATAGATAGATAGATAGATAGATAGATAGATAGATAGATAGATAGATAGATTTAAAACAATAACAACTGTGGCTCTTTAGGGAAACCTAGTCTGCACATTCCTTTCTCTCTTTTTTGCCTTCCCATAGAAAAGTTTAGCACTCCAATTTTGCACCTCAGGTGAGGGACCACAGTCTGATAAGGGCCTAAAAATCCTCCTTCACATTTCCGTTATCTCAGAGCCTTTCAGAAAGGACAGGTGGCTTGGAAGGCTTTAGCAGTCCTGGCAATTTCTGTGTGAGAGCCTCTTGGTTGGAAGGACCTGCTAGTGGAAGAAAAGCAGCAATTGGCCGCACTGGCCAATATGCCACGAGAGGGCAGCAGTGAGCAAGGCGCCAGGGTTCTGACGGTCCTTGTGAAGATGGATCACCAGCCTTCGCAGTCGTTCTAAATTCAGTAGATGAAGTTAGTGCTGCTATCCACAACAGAAGTTAAGAAGAGAAAACTCATTTAGGATAGACATACCCGGGAATGTCCCATTGGGCAAAGCAAAGGGAAGGGCCAGAGCACAAAGTTTTTTAAGGTCTGGTAGGAACACACCAACAGTTAGATACCTTCAGTAGTGTGTCTGCCTTGATGGTTGTAACTCATAAGCAGGCCAAAGAGAAGAATAAGAGTATGTTAAGGCTGGAGAGATAGTGCAGAAGTTAGGAGCACTGGCTCCTCTCCCAGAGTACCCAGATTCTATTCCCAGTACTCACAACTGTACAACTGTAACTCCAGTTCTAGGGTAGCTGACACACAGACATACAATGCAGGCAAAACACCAATGTACACACAAGGAAAATAAATAAATCACTAAAAAAATTAAAAGGCACTTAAACAATTTAATAATAAAAGAGTATGTTGACATAAAGTATCCAGAAAGAGGCAGAAGTGTATTTTTTTTTTGATAAAAACCGTACAACTTTTTATTGTTAAGTCAAAGAGGTATCAAAATTAAAGCAAAACTTACAGGGTAAGACTTAAGGAAACTACTACGGAGCATCAGAGGAAGTGAAGTGGAACTAGGCGCAGGGAAATTATGAATTAATGAACACAGGAAGGAGAAGGAGGGAACAGTGAGAATGTGCAGAAGATTCTAGGGGAGAGGATCTGGCGTTACTTTGCTCTCTCACAAGCCCCTAGGGAAATGAATAACGGGAGAAGATGTCTAAGCTCCACTGTGTACTTAAGAGTCATCCTCCCCATTGGTGCTGTCTCTGTTATCTTCTCCCTCCTCAGGTTCTTTTTCATCATCCTTCAACTCCAGCTGGTCATCCCCCCGATCTTCATTATCATCATCATCCAGCAGGTCACCCTCCTCAGCAGAGTCATCTGCACCTGCCTCAGACTCCAGCTTCACATTAGTCTCATCTTTCTTCACAGAGGCACTTCTCTGCTCTTCTTCGGACTTTTCATTCTTCATCTCTACTGCTTGTTTGCTTTGTTCTTTTTCAATTTCTTCCAGGCTTTCCAGAAGAGAATCCACTTTTTGTTTTATCTCAGTCAGCTCCTTTTTAATGGCCTGAAGGTCATAACCTTTCAACTTTCCAGACTTGGAAGAAGATCCCCGTTGTCCACTCTTCGAATTGAATCCACTTTTGCCCCTTCGTGAGGTGTTCCCTGACACACGCTGGCGTTTGGAAGGCACCACAGCTCGAGCAATAGGAGGAGGAGGAGGAACACATGCTGGGTAACTGTACATCCTGTCATAATAATCCCGTTGAAAGTCATAGTCCAAGTCAAATGAGGAACCGTACATCTCCGCTGCAGATCCTTTCACACCTGCTTTTCCTCGGTTCACTTTTGGCTCTGCAGCCAGGTTAATATGTAAAACCTGGCCGGCGATCATTCTGCCATCCTCTCCAGCTACAGCAGCTCGGGCATTTTTTTCATTAACATACTGGACAAAGGCAAAGCCCTTATGCACAGAGCAACCCACAATTTTGCCATACTTTGAAAATATGGCCTCCACATCAGACTTCTTGACCACCAGAGTATTGAGATTCCCAATGAAAACACGGGAATTCATGGACTGAGGATCTGTCTTGTTGGTAATATTGCTAGCCATCTCCTTTGATGATGAGGTTTCTCACAAAGCTGAAAATGTAGCTGACGATCAAAAAAAATCTCACAAGAGTTAGGAGAGAGAGAAGAGAGAAGAGACTGCCTCTCCTACTGCAGGTCTACGCCGCGACGCCGGAGCTACAACAGCAAGGAGCCACACGACCGTTCGCTCTCCCTCTCCTCACAGAATGGCCCCCGAGCTCCTCTAGAAGTGTAATTTTAATTCACATTTTACCTCCATTTTATTTTTATGTTCTATAGGTTGATTCCATCAGCAAATATTTACTGAGCAAGTACAATTATGTTCTGGACAATCAGGATTCCTTTATAGAGCCTGGGTTTAGTGACAGCATGTGCAATATGTACAACAGTTGGAAAACACAATAGCTTTTAGTGAAGGAAAATGAAACCTATTATCTAACCATCCTAAGACAGTTAGTGTTAGCCAGGCACAGGAATCCCAACACTGAGGAACTGAAGGCACAAGGACTGTCAGGAGTTCAAGGCCAGCCTGATTCCACAGCAGGACTCTAGTCTCAAAAAAGGACAAAAACAAAGAAAAGAAAGATGAAGGTATTAAGGCTTTGATACGTTTGCTGTTTGCTTAGTTTCTTCCTTGTGGTATTGAGAATTGATCCCAAGACCTTCTTCATGCCAGGCAAGCACCCTCCCGACACTAAGCTGTAACATAACTTCAACTCTTTATTCTGAGGCAGGCATGCGATAGGTTACTCAGTTCAGGCCTTGAAGTTTGGCTCCTCCTTCGTTGGCCTCTTGGAGTTGCGATTACAGAATCACCCCACCAGGACTTCCTATATTGTTTTCATTCCTGTCCACCTTTGCTATGCCCGTACTCAGACATACAAGGCTGAGGTTTTATAGCACCCTATCTTATACAGATTTATATAATTTGTTTCGGGTAATTGTTGGAACTGTTAAACAGATTTACAGAAAGACCATTAGTGGATCATTTGAAGTTATTAAAAACTCCAAAACAACAAGACTTGGCAATACAGGCATGTATCGTCTAACAATTGGCAAAGAGGTGATTCTGCAATTATATAAACACCATGGAATATACTTACACAAATCTAGGTGATATAACACTCATATACAAAAGTATACGATGTGTTTGTGCATATGTGTCACACATCTATGGCATAAAATCCATTGCTGTTAGGAAATCAGCAAGACATGAGGTTGATTTAAGCACAAGAGAAAATTGTGTAATTGGTGAACAAGATAATGAGCCTATCCCATTCTGTTTTATAATAAAATTGTAATATATTTGAATATGTAAGCAGGAGCACATGAAAAGCAACAGCAAGTATAATAGGGTGCACAAACCGGAAACAGTTGCTTATTATCAAGTATCACACAATAATAACGCACTGTATCTTGATGTGACTAGAATTGCAGATTTGTTTACACCAGCATCGCCACAAACGCATGAGTTATATAGTGCTCTAAAATGTTCAGACAGCTATGACAGGTCTCATTCATGGGGACTTTTCAGCTGCATTATCAGATAACTGCCTGTGAATGTGGCTTTCCTGGCTGATGCCAGTATGTGGGGAATGCGAATATGCTGGCTGGATGTGTATGTTAGAAGGGGGGGGGGAGGAAAGAGTTCTACAAAGGGAAAAGTATGAGTATCAACAACCAAATGTATGATTTGGGTAGAAGAAGTGAACTTGATATGTTCACATGATGTGGTGTTCAGGTGGCTGAGGTAGCCAAGAGAGTAACAGGTCAGGACATAATGTCTGAACTGGAGTGGGAGTGCTTGATAAAGTTTCGATTTTAAATGTCCCCCAAAGTGTTGGGAGACGACTCTGAGCAGAAAGCGGCTATCATCTTTACAGCCATCTCGAGCCATATACCCTGACAAGAGACTTGTTTTCAACAGCCTACAACAGCTGAGCACACTCTGATAATTATCTTGCTTTTCTTACATATCTTGTTTTGTTGTTTATTGCCCCCAGCTGCAGGGTGCATGTGGTAAAGTGTCTTCAGCTGCGTTCCCCTGCTTGTGCTAATATATACCCATGATTTCCTTTCAATAAAGGCGAGACTTGAGGAGAGACTTGAGAGACTTGATCAGACTCCCTGTGTTGTCTCCATTCTTCGAGTCTCCGCCCCCACTCTCTCTCTCTTGCTAGGCCCTGACCCATGGACCGGAGCAGCAGAACGGGCTGTTATACCAAAGTCCATTCGCCAAAGGACCATGGAGCCTGTTGGTGGGGACAGTCTTTAAGAGATTGCTCAGTAGGAGGCAATGGGAATGCACCTTTAAAGGAGACCATGAGATCCTGGCTTCTTCCTCCTCTTCATGTCCACAAAGACAATGATTTTGTTCTGGCCTGTCCTCATAATATATTGCTTCATCACACACCACAGCCCAAAGCAATGGAGCCTATCCACCGGGGGCTGGAACCTATAGAGCTGCGAACCAAAACAATCCTTTTCACGTTGTGTTAGTTATCATACGTATTTATTATAATGGAAAGCTGAAGAACACAAGGTCTATACTGTACACCAATTAAGAACAAGGGGAGATTACATTGTACCAGCAAACAGAAGGAGAAGACAGAGCTGAGTTTCAGAGAAATGTCTCCATCCCAAAGACCTGGCCTGGGGAAGCTTGGGATGGCTAAAATGTTTCTAGACCGTTCTAGAGCTTTCATTTGATTTAGCATATGTCTGTGATAACTGGAGAACCCTTGGCAGAGTAAGTTGCATGATTATTTTTACCTCTTGTATACCTTGTACACAGTTTTACCCCTTGTACAGCAGTTCATGGGATCAAAGTTGAGATAGAGACTTCCTGTGTCTACTTATTCCACTGCTCAAACATGTATGCATCCCTTGTATTTAGCTTAGAACTGTTTCCATATAAGAAGTTTGAATCATCTTACACAACCGTGGAAGAAAAACAAGTACTAGAAACATGTACTGGATGTTTAATAACAGAACTATAAAGTCTCAAAATCATGTGAAGAATATTCTGAGCTCCAGGAGTCCTAGCTACTGAACAGCAAACTAATTTTGGGGGGGTTATTTTTGACTCTCAGAAATCAAATGAATCGCCGGGCGGTGGTGGTGCACACCTTTAATCCCAGCACTTGGGAGGCAGAGGCAGGCAGATTTCTGAGTTCGAGGCCAGCCTGGTCTACAGAGTGAGTTCCAGGACAGCCAGGTCTACACAGAGAAACCCTGTCTCGAAAAACCAAAAACAAACAAACAAAACAAACAAACAATCACCTTTTTTATGTACGAGTATTTTACCTGCTTGTATGTTATGTGTAGCATGTCTGGTGCCTTCAGAAGTCATGCGATGGCATTGGGTTTCCTGCAACTAGAGTTATGAGGTGTGAGCTGCCAGGTAGAGGCCAAGAATCGAACCCCAGTCTTCTGCAAGAACAGGTGCTCTTAATGGTTGAGCTAATTTCCATCCCCGTAATTTCTGTTGCTTGTTATAAAACCCAGTTTTATTTAAACCCCTTTCTGACCTCTGCAGATACTACCTACCCATGTGGTAACCATACATGTAGGCAAAATAATATAAAGTGAGTATGTCTCATAAAAAAAATTTTAGCAGGTCCTTTTTTTTTTTTGGTTTTTCGAGACAGGGTTTCTCTGTGTAGCCCTGGCTGTCCTGGAACTCACTCTGTAGACCAGGCTGGCCTCGAACTCAGAAATCCACCTGCCTCTGCCTCCCAAGTGCTGGGATTAAAGGCGTGCGCCACCACCGCCCTAAACCCCACATTTAACAGGCTTTTTAGGACATGGGTTTTGCAAAGGAGGCAGAGCCTTGTCTCTGCTAGATGGATACAGGAGCCCAGGTTCCCCTCTACGTCTCCATGGACACCACAGAGAAGGCTTTAACGAACATGGGGCAATATTGAGTGCTCTGGATGCTCTGGTGTCTGCCCTGAACCCACAGGGAAGGTGTTCTCATTCTTGTTGGGTAAAGAATGTCCAGATTGTCTACTGGGCTACTGCTGATGTAATTCCCAAAAGACAGCCTGCATCACAACCCAGAGATGGCAGAAACTTTGGTTTGTACTCAGGCACAGATGGAACCAAGTTTTTGTTTCTGGAATGCTTGGCCTAAGTAGTAAATCTGTTTTCTAAAAGATTTCAATCCTCCTTTCCTGTTCTTTTGGCCAGATAGGGCAGATTTTTATTAGTTTTCTTTGTTTTGCTTTTTTTTGGCTGTGCTCAACGGTTCACCTCTAGCTTCACTGGTCGAAAGTCTGAATACACGAAGCAAACAAGTAAGCTGGAAACCCACTGTCAGGTTCTGAGGTTCCAAGATCAGTTTCTTCTTCTCTGTTTCTGCCAGACTCTCTTTATGTTTGTTCTTTCATAGAATAGTCAGGGTTTTCAGTTGTTTTTCATGAGATGGGGAACCATTTCAACTTTCTAGAAGTGGAAGATTTATATTCATTTTGTTTTTTTAAAAACAATTCAATGGGGGCTGGAGAGATGGCTCAGTGGTTAAGAGTGCTTGCTGCTCTTCCAGAGAATCCAAGTTCAGCTCCCTGCACCTACGTTAGGTGACTTCTAACTACCTATACCTCCAGCTTCCCTCTTCTGGCTTTTGTGGATACACGCACACAGGCACGCACGCACGAACAGCATACAGAGATACATGCACATAAAAGAGCAAGACAATTTTAAAAATAAAAAGCACCGCACAGTATCTTGTATTCTTGAATTTTAGCAAACCAGGTGAAGGCCTCATCTAAAGGCACTGTTTAGAAGACATGTTTGAGGTTACTATCATAGTTATTTTTTATAAAAAGTTCACAGTATTTTTTTTTTTTTACAAAAAGTTCCCAGTAAAAAGAAGTAAAACTTTGTCATTGTTAAATTTTTTTTCTTTCTTCTTTTTTTTTTCTTTTCTTTTGCCAGTGTCTCATTGTGAATTCCTGGCTAGCCTAGAACCCACAGAAATCTGTCTGCATCTGCTCTCAAGTGCTGAAATTAAAGTTGTGTGCCACCATCTTAAACCTATCTTAAAGAAAGTACTAAAAAGAATTTGCAGATAGAAGGAAAGCCATACAAATTTTAAATACAGAT